TGAGAGAGCTGTAAGATGCTTGGAGTCAGACAGGTAATCCAGTCATAGGTGGTCAGAAAGGACGTCTCAGAGAAGGTGATGCTTGACTGGAGTCCCAAAGGATGAGCACAAATTTTACCAAGCAAAGCAAAGCAGTTGAGATGGGGAATAAGGAAAGAGCTCTCCCAAGCAGAAAAAGCAGCAGCTGCAAAGGAAAAAATAGAGACTTGTAAACACAGTTGTTTAGTGGAGAACATGTTGTAGTGAAGAGTGCGGGCTCTGGAATCAGACTCTTGGGTTTAAAATTCAGCCTTACTATTTACCAGCTGTGTGCCTTTGAGAGCGAACTTAAACTCCCAAGGCTCAATTTCCTCACCTATAAAATGGGGTAAGGGGCCACGAAAAGATTAAAAGTGATAATGCCTGTATAAATGTTCAATAAATGTCTAACATATGGTGTGTACTCAACAAGATGACAGAGAGTCTTTCTGCTGCTGGAATCTTGGCCGCAAGGGGCAGCAGAGACTATCAAGAGATGAGGCTGAAGACTCTGGGAGGGGCCAGGTCAGAGACAGAGGACAGCCACTAACAGTGGTCGTGTGGTTAGATGTGGATAGATTACTTATTTTTTTTAAGTTTTCTTTATTTAAGTAATCTTTACACCCAGTGTAGGGCTTGAACTCAAGACCTCAAGATCAAGAGTTGCATGCTCTTCCAACTGAGCCAGCCGGGTGCCCCTAGACATGGGATAGATAACTTCTTACATCACTTGGGAAATGTGTGGCAGAAACTGTGATGGCCCACATGGCCACTAACAGGGGTATGGGTCAAATGTAGACCCCTACTCTCCTGTTTTACTGCCTGACCATGCCAAGTGCAGAGAGAATGAGATCCAACAGCATCCCTGATATGGTGGTGGTGGGAATGTAAACTGGTACAACCACTTTGAAAAAGACTCTGCTTTTGCTTGTAAAAATGAATATTCCCACACTCTGTAAGTCAACAATCCCACTTCTGGTTATAAGCCCAGAACGGTTGTCCATTCATTCAACAAACACAAATCTAACATCTACGTTATGCCAAGGCCTATGATGGGCTGGGTCTCTGGGGGCACAGGAGCACTGAACTTGGAGTTAATGGTAGTTGCTTGGGAGCTGGGTGAACTTGGGCATGATGCTTAATCTTTCTGAGCCTCAGTCCCCTCATTTTAAAAAAGAGGCACAGATTACCATTGATGGGAATGCAAACTGGTGCATCCACTGTGGAAAACAATATGGAAGTTCCTAAAAATATTAAAAACAGAACTACCCTACAATCCAGCAATTGTGCGACTGGGTATTTACCCAAAGATACAAAAACACTAATTCAAAGGGATACATGCATCCTGATGTTTATAGCCATGTTATTTACAATAGCCAAATTACAGAAGCAGCCCAAGTGTCATTGATAGATGAATGAATAAAGAAGAGTTGGCATATATATATATATATATATATATATATATATGAATAGTACTCAGCCATAAAAAAGGAAATCCTGCCATTTGCAACAACATGGATGGAGCTAGAGAGTATCATACTTAACAAAATAAGTCAGTCAGAGAAAGACAAATTCCATATGATCTCACTCATATGTGGAATTTAAGAGCCAAAACAAATGAGCAAAGGAAAAAAAAAGAGAGAGACAAAGAGAGAAACAACCAAGAAACAGACTCTCAACTATAGAGAACAAACTGATGATATCCAGGCCGGGGTGCGGTGGGGGTATGGGGGAAGTAGGGGATGGAGACTAAGAGTACACTTACCATCATGAGCGCCAGGTGATGTATAGAAGTGTTGAATCACAAAATGGTACATCTGAAACTAATATAATATCGTTTTTTTTTAATCTACCCTAGAATTAAAATTAAAAACTTAATTTTGAAAGAAAAGGCACAGATCAGGTCAGACATGTGCTATGGAGAAAACCAGGAGGTGCCATGCACATGTTCATGGTTCTCCCTGTGCTGACCATCTGAGGCTCCAACAGGAAGTGACCCTGGAGCTCCAGGGACCAAAAGGAGGACAAGGGTGGGAACCCTGCCCATTATCAGAGGGTGGAAATAACAGGGGTTAATGAGGAAATTATAAACCCAAGAATCGGAGCATTAAACAGAGCAGGAATCTGACCCATAAGGACTTTTTATCCTGACGATTGCACTAGCCAGCACACAGCTGGATTTGTCGTAATATCTCACAACAGCTATAAGAAGTAGAGTGAGTGTTACCCCATTAGGCAGATAAGGAAATTGAGGCACAGGAAGATTAAGGACTTTGCCACGTTTGCACATTCCGGAACTGTTGAGGCAAGGACGCCAACGCAGACCACCTGACTCTGGAATCTGAGCTCTTAATCACTTTGCTTTGTGATGCTTCTGGGTAGCAAGGCCAGCAAGGTAAGGAAAAGACTGGGGCGGTGGGTGAATTCAAGTGTGAGGTCCTAAGACTTGACTGGACAGGGCTTTGGGGGAGCTGAGGAGGCAGGAGGGCTGGGTTTCTGAGACAAGGAAGGAGGATCTCCCAGCAGAGGGAGAGAAAGACACAAGGAGCAGAAGCAGAGGCCCTGGAGCTCAGGTTCACCTGTGTCAACATTCCGATGGTAGAATCCCCCAGATGGACATGAGCCAGGTTCAGACATAAGTAATTCCTAACACATGCCAGGCCCATGCTACACACTTTGTTCATATTATCTCCTTTCCCCTTAACAACAGTCCTACGAAGGAGATGTAAGTGTCCTCACTTTAGAGTTGAAAAAACTGTCGGAGTGCCTGGGGGGGGGCTCTGTTGGTTAAGCGTCTGACCTCGACTCAGGTCATGATCCCAGGGTCCTGGGATCGAGCTCATCAGGGAACCTGCTTCTCCCTCTTCCTGTGCCACACTCGCTGTCTTTCAAATATATAAAATCTTAAAAGAAAAGAAAAGAGAAAAGTAAAGAAAAGAAAAGAGAAAAGTAAAGAAAAGAAAAGGGAAGGAAAAGAAAAAAAAATACTGTCAACAAGGTTAGTTTGTTCTTGGTCGCACAGGCAGAAACTGGGCTTTGGTCTCCTGGGGTAGCTTTGCCCACAGGAAGTGCTTGGGAGTGTGTGTCCAGAGGCAGCCCTTCTCTGGGGGAGTGTGAGGGCCCTTTTCCTGGAGAGACGAACTCTGAAGGTATAACTTACACCACAGACCTACTCCCACCTCCTACACCGCATGAGATAAAGGATCAGGGTGAGGCTGGGACTCGGTGGGAAATCCCTCCATCCCTCTAAAGCAGAAAGGTCCTATGGGTTCAAGGTCAGCTTGTCCGGTTTCTTCGCCTTCCTTGTCCCACTTCTACTCCCATCCTGGTCTCTGCTGGGAACGCTTCCTTAATGAGTCAGCTGCCCTTGAACCCTCTGCTTTGGGGACCCCCACATAGGACAGGCCTTAGCTTCTTTTAAAAAAAGATTTATTTGTTTATTTTCGAGAGAGAGCACGAGTGGGAGGGGCAGAGGGAGAGGGAGAGAGCAAGCCAAGCAGACTCTGTGCTGAGCTGCTGAGGGCAGGGTCCATGCGGGACTTGATCTCGCAACCCTAAGATCACATGAGCAGAAACCAAAAGTCTGGTGCTTAACCGACTGTGCCTCCCAGGTGCCCCAGGACAACCCCTAGCCTCTTAACCACCGTCCTGGGCACCTCCTTTTTGCTCACCTCCCTCACTCTCTAGGAGCTACTCGCACTCCCCCAGGGAGCAGAGACCCACAGGGCTTCGCCACTGCAAATTCCTGGGACCACTTCCCGGCCAGAGCCCAAAGTCCAAGGCTTGTGCCAACTTCCTCCGAGCAGAGTTTGCACTGTGTAGTCTCCGGCCAGAGTTTGCTGTTCCCAGACTTGAGCAAGCCCAGACACAGCCCACCTCCCAGGGCGTGGGACACTGTGCTGTGAAGTCAGAGGTGGTTTTCAGGGCCATGTCCAGACTTGTGGGGAGTGCCGAGCCAGATGTGCAAGGAATCAGCCCTGGTGCGTCTGGGGCGAGAGAACCAGACAGACCACTCCTCAGGGAAAGAAGCCAAACCAATAAATAAAGGTCCCTCACCAAAGCATAGATCTTGAACTGACAAGTTTCCCGAGTAATGTGTAGCGTGGAGTTAGGCATAGCCACCAGGGATGGAGTGGAGAGTCTATGAGGAATTATTGGGCTCCGGCTCACAGGAGGAAGATGCTGGGAAAGCCAGGGGTCTGACTCAGTGCTTCCCTGTGTCAGGCTCAGCTCCGACCACAGCTTGCCTGGAAATCCTCTCTGATCTGTTCGCCACCACTTGGTGGATTGGGTGCCTCTCCTCACTGTTCCCACATCGTCTTGTCTACCGCTGTAATTGCACATCTGTCTGCGTATCTGACCTCAGTTACACCACAGTCCTGTCGTTTTACCTCTGAAGCACCAGGATGTAGCTCAGCATCATGGACACGATGAGTGCTCCATAAATATTTGTTGAATAAATACCCACCCTCTAGGGCTGTTTGAAGATCAAATGAGATAATGGATGGGAAAACAAACCATGAATTGCCAGTACATTTATTCTTATTTTCCATGAATATATTTGTGAATTTTATACAGAATGACATGCCGTATGTATTAATAGTATTGATAATAGTAACATGTGCCAAAGCCTAAGCAAAAAGACTCCTCTAGAGTCCAACGTTGAGGGAAACAGAAATACCCATGTTTATCTATAACAGTGTGTTCGTTGCTAAATTCACACCATCAATGACAAGAAATTATTATAACCTGAAAAGACGGCAGTCAGGTCTCTAGATTATTTGTCCGAGAAGACAGAGGAGTGCTGGCCTAGGGAATGACTATCATCACCTCAGCCTTTCACATGTTTAAGACTTTTTGGTTTGAAGCAATTTGTGTCATCGGCTCTTCCATTTGCCACGTAAATTAATTTAAGAAATCAGACATTGGAAGCAGGGGAAATGCACTGGGTCCTTCTTTTTGTACCTCTGTTCTTTTCTCAGGAGGCAGGAGTCCCAACAGGGAGCTTTCTGGGAGTGGAGAGGAGCCTGAGGGGGAGGCCGTGCGCGTATGGGAGCTGCTGCTGGAAACAAGGACAGAGCAGAAGCTTGAAGGTCACTGTCACACCCCTGCGGAAAGACACCTGCCGGGAGGGCCACCAGACTTCAGTGTCAGGTCATCTCCTGTAAGTCAGCATCCCACCTTCCTTATCATAACTGATGTTCACGCCCAGCCAGATCCCGTGACGCTTGGAACTTCCGTCCCCTCCTCAGCAGGACAGACCTGCTCTCCCTCAGTCCCATCTGATGGCCCAGGACTCAGAGGAACAGATTCCTCCCCCTCCCTCCCCATCCCTCCCACTTCTCTCCCTTTCCCTCCCTCCCTCCCTTCCTGCTGTCCCGCCTTCCCTTCTTTCCTTAATACAATGTTAATCTATTTACTTTTTTGAATAGGTAATACATTCTTAAAGTTATAAAAAGATACAGGACAATCTCTCTCAGGAACTCAGGGCCTGCTGTGTATCCTTCCAGAGATTTTTTTTAAGTGTATATACAAGCATTACATGGGCATATGATTATATACTACCCCATTCCTTCTTACGCAAATGCTAAACATTGTATAGTGATACATAGTGTTCTGTTCCTTAATTTTCTCAATTAATAGATCTTAGAACAGGAAGAGCTTCTTCTACCATTTTTTTTTTCATAGCTGGATAGTTTGCCAACCCACAACTTATTTTAATCAGACAGACATTTACAACCAGTGTCGCACTGGAAAGCCTTGGACCCACATCATTTCCCAGCTGTTATCTGTAATTAGCCGTGGAGGTTCCGGGTCAAGGGGCAGGCGGATTGGTGGTGTTCAGAGTCATTGCCAAATTGCCAGTCATAGAGATTGCACAAACATATACTCCCGATCACTGTATGGGAAGAAACAGATCTCTAAAACTTTGCAATGGGCATCGTTCTACCGCTGGGACACACTGGCTAAGCCCTTCCTCGGTGCCCGGCATTTATCTCCGTTAACCCCCACCATGACCTTTCGAGTTGGTGATGACGGGGTTCCTGCCGTCAAAGGAGAAACCTCAGATTCACAGGTGAGTAATGTTGCCACGCTAGGTCTCTCTTCTGGAAGCTGGGCAGTCAGCAAGTATTCATTCTGATAATTGTAAGAAGAATTCCAACAGCCTGCCTTTACTGAGCACTTAAACCCCTCACTTGACCCTCTCAGCCCTGTGACCCAAGCTCTGGAGTGTGCTCCACTTTTAGTAATGAGAAAACCAAAGGCTAAAGAGGTCCCAAGCCTCTGGTTGAAAGTTACGCAGCAAGCGGACAGCAGTCCCCGGGTCGGACCCAGACAGTCTGAGCACACCACCTGAACCCTTCACACCGCTACACTGAGGTCACAGCTTAGAAGTTCCAGAACACTGTCCCCTGTGAGAGCCTCGATCGGCAGGTGCGAAAGCTGAGGCCCAGGGGGAAGGGAATGGGGCCTGGTTAGTGGCTACCCTGGGTTAGGAGCCCCTTCCCTTGCTCCAGCTGGGCTCTCTTGTTAGACCTTGCAGCCACACCAGTGCCGTGACACCCTCAGCCCTGGGCTGGCTCATGGTACGGATGACAAAGGTGGCCTCGGCGCAGCTCACAGCCCAACCGGCGAGAACCAGCCCGCAGCCCACCCGGCAGTCTGCAGCCACGGAGTCCGAGGCTGTGGGTCCCTGGGTCACTTCTCCTACGTACTCGCTACCAGTTGTTACAGTGATGACAAAAGACACTATTTACCCAGCACCTATGATGAGCCTGGCACCAGGAGAAGCACATCAGTTTACTTCATCCTTAAAACAAGCCCACGACTCACAGGTTTGTATTTGCTCATGTCACCATCGGTTTGTGGCAGAGCTGGGATTTGAACTCGGGTATTTTTGAGTTTTTTAGAGATAGGATGGTTCAGTGGTTAGGAACCCGGTGTCTAGCATCACACAGATTTGTTCTCCCACTTACTATTTGTTGAGCCAGGAGAAATTGCTCAATATCTTGAGCCTCAGTTTCCCTCTCCAGAAAAAGGAGATTCGTAATATAGTTGCCCCTTGAACAGCATGGCTTTGAACGGCGCAGGACAGCGTACACGCAGATTTTTTACAGTACAACGTTGTCCATGTATGCTGTGCTCCTTATGATTTTCTTAATAACATTTTCTTTTCTCCATCTTACTTCATTATAAAAATACAATATATAAGACACACATAAAATATGTGGTAATCGACTGTTTACGTTAGCAGTAAGGCTTCTAGTCAACAGTAGGCTAGTAGTAGTTAAGTAGGTGGGGGGCATTATATGTGGATATTTTACTGCGCCGGAAGTTGACAACCCAACGTTGCTCAAACAACTGTGTCTGTTTACTCAAAGAGATGTTTGCGTAGCCATATTCAGATCAGCATTAGTCACAACAGCCAAAATGTAGAGGCAGCCAAATGTCCATCCATGGGTAAATGCATTCACAAATTGTCACACACACACACACACACACACACACACACACACACACTATTCAGCCTTTAAAAAAAAGGGGGGGGAATTCTGACACCTGCTACAACACAGAGCTCGAGGACATTATCCTGAGTGAAATAAGGAAGATAAGCCAGTCACACCAAGACAAATCCTGTTTGGTTTCACGCCTCTGCGGTGCCTCAAACACTCAAACACATGGAGATGTGGAGACGGAAGGCAGAATGGTGGTTGCCAGAGGGCAGAGGGAAGGAGGGAGAAATGGAGAGTCGCTTACTGGGTAGAGAGTTTCGGTTTTACGGCCTAGAAGGAGTTCTGTGGGTGGGCGGTGGTGATGGGCCCCACGGAGTGAATGTCCTCAACGCCGCTGAGCTGTATACTGAAAAGTCAATGTAAATGCTGGGCTCTAGAATTTTCCTGCAATTCTTTAAAAAAGAAAAACATAATAATAACGCCTGTTTTGGAGAGATGTGAGGACTCGATCACGTTTGTGAAGGGCCCAGCCTGGGCCTGGCTCGGAGGAAGCACGGAATGGGTGGTGGTAAGTGTACCGTTGGCCACCGCTGTGTGTCCACGGAGGGAGCCACCCCGGGGGAGACTTCAGTGTCCCTGTCTTGTCTGCTTCTCTGACGGCACATGAGGAACAAATGAGCTCTTAACGCGTGAAAATGCTTCATCAACTGTTTAAAAAAAAAAAAAAGAAGTGGAGAAATGATTGATCAAGGTGTTAGGGACCCGTTTTGTCGGTCATTCTCAGCCCTTGGGGTCTAGCCCCACCACCACACGTGTCACCTTCCCCGGGGGCGACTCGTCCAGGACTCTCTCTCTCCCTCTGCTGACTGGAATCTTCGGGCAGGCCTCCTGTCTGACTGGAAGTTTCTGGCAGGAGTCCTGTCTTCCTTCATGCCGCATCCCAGCGTCCAGCCTGGTGCCCGTGTCCCCTCGGTCAGTTTTGCTGACCTCATCCGAGTCTAGGGGGTGGGAGGCAGCGGGGCTGATGGTTTCAGCTGGGAGACGTCCTGTGAGGTCAGGGCCAGGAGGTTCAGTGCGGCTTCCTGAGGTGAGGCCCCCTCCCGGGTGCGGTTTCTCACAGTGATGAGTCTGATCGTCTGTCCTCGAGCAAAGCTGTTGCCCAGCGGCCGTGGCCGTGCGGGGAGGGGAGTGAAGCCCAATTTGGGGAAAGTGGAGGGAAGGCTCTTGGACCGCCCAGGAAGAGGTGACTCGGGGACATGGGCTGCCTCGTTGTTTTCCATGGTTTTTCATTACTTGGTTTGAGCTCCTGCAGAGCCAGAGCGTCTCAGGCATGGCTGGAGAATCTAATTCCGGAGTCTTTCAGCACAAAAGAATGCAATCAAACACCTGCTCTGTGGAAGCGAGGCCGGCTGTGGGTCCACGCCCTCCGCAGACACGGTGGCCCCAGGAGGGTAAGCGACTGGCCCGAGGTCTCTTGGAAAAGTGTCAGGACGGGGACAACGGCTCACACTTCTGGGACAGCACAGATCCTACAACCCTCTGCTGACTGAAAAGTTGTGTTGAGGTAAACCGAGGAACAAAGGCAGTTTTTCTGGGGCAGGCACTACTGCAAGACCTTCATATTCACATATCAAATATGTTCACCCAAGGACTTCTTCACCTTCACAAAGGGTGGAATAGCTAGCTTTTGAACTGAATTTGCCCTCCAAACACCAGACCAGAAAAATCACTTATTCGTCATTCTTCCTTTTGACTCATAATCCCTCAGCATGTCCTACAGAAGGGAGTGTTGGTAAGCCCTGGAGAAGAGGAAGAAAATATGATGAGGTAGCATGAGGGGCTTCCTTAGTCATCAGATGTCTAAGAACAAGCTTACTCAGACTGTCTCAATGATTGACAAGGGACTTTCTCCTCAAGGAAGGAAAGAAAATGGCCACCGTGGTATTTTCCACTCCACAGAGCACAGTTTGCCAGTGCATGCTAAGCGTCTCTGTAGCGCCACACTGTTTTCTGCTGGTAGAGTTTGGTGGTGGCCGAGGAGGATGGTAACTGATGTTGGATGAACATAGTGAAGTAAGGCATGGAGAGGAAAGACACGGCAAACACATGAAGTCAGACACAAGGAGTCTCACTCAGAACTCAAGTTCTTTCCTGATTCTGGAAGATTTCACAAGGCCAGGAAGCCAGCTGTCCTGGGTCAAGTGAAGGGGAGGCAGCTCTGGTACACACCCAAGAGCAGTTTCTGGTCAGGCATTCCTGGCAACATGGGGTACCTCAGCCCACCCACGCCTTGTCCACGATGAAAGCTGATAGGCAGGGCCTGCGGAATGCTGGGGCAGGGCAGTGCCTCCCTCGTGGTTTAGGGGCACTGAGAGGTCTCCTTCTAAAAATATCTCCCTCCCCTTTCCTGCCGTAGAAGCTGAAATGTTCACATGGAAGTCTTACTCCCTTGGTTTGAGGCGTTATATTCCTAGTAGATCTGATTTAAAAATTAAACACCATCATGTGCAGAACAAACTGAGATATGATCACGCCATGACACTTCCCTTGGCATTTATTTATATCCCCGCACCAATCCAAAGAAGGATTTGAAATTATCACACATTTATTTCTCAGATTAGCCAGCTGAGGGAACCAGATCTTGTTTCAGCAAATCTGTGGAGCAGCTGAGAGAGGACTTTAGTTCTGCCCGGGACACCTCATTTTTCTGCTCAAACCACTCCAAGATCTTCCCATCGTTCCTTACGCAGAACCCTCACCCAAATCAGTCGCCATCTTGCTCGCGGCACTCCCACCTCACGCAAACGCAACCGGCTTTTACCTGCCCCCAGACTCCTCACGAGCTGTCCCTTCTGCCGACAGATCGTTCCTCCAACTCCTGGCTCCTCTCTTCTTCAGGCCTCGCCTTGAAATGCCACCACTCAGGTGGTCCCTTGACTTTGCCAGTTAAGGTAAGTGTTGGTTCCTGTATTTCAAAACACTGTTCTTTGGTTCACAACCTTTCTTACCATTTGGCATGTGTGTCTAAGGTGGATCCGTGTCATTTGTGGTCTGTACTTGGGAGTTCGCTACTCCTCCGAACGGATTCATGGCGCCCAAATCAATACGTGCTGGGCTTTGGAGGTTCATCTACGAACATGCGCAGAGCGTCACCCAACACACGTGTTCCCACCTGAGATCCAACAAAATTGACACTCTGCTTCTTATCTCAGCCCTCAGACTCTAAACAAGTATCCTTTTGGCAACTTTGTGTCACACTTTTTGCATTTTGGGGCCCGCGGTTGGTGGTTTTTCTGTTTAAATGGCCCCGGATCGGGCTTCCCGCTCAGCAGAGAGCCTGCTTCTCTCTCTCTCTCCCTTTGCCCTCCGCTCTGCTTACTTGGGCTCTCTCTCTATTTCTCTGTCAAATAAATACATAAAATCTTTAAAAAAAATTAAAAAATAAAAAGGCCGCTGAGCATGGGGCTGGAGGGTTGTCTAGCACTCCTGAGCCCAAGAAGGCTGCCATGTGCCTGGTGGAGGAAAGGTAGGCGTTGGATAAGATTTCGTCCAGGTATGAGTTATATTGCTGTTGGCCATAAATTCAACATGAATGAATCGACAATAGATGGTAAATAAGATGTCTTTCAACAGAAGCACGCATAAACCCAGATTATGTAATAATTGGTGGATGAAATGTTGTGACCAGAGGCTCCCGGGAACCTAATCCTGTGTTTCCTTGGGAGCCATGTTTCCATGTTCCCGTGGTGGCTTTATAAAACACAACCACTGGGAATAACAAGAACCGCATTTGTGTCCATTTTATTCGCTTCTTAGGGCCACTGTAATGCATACTACAAACTCTGTGGCTTAAAACAGTAGATTGGTATTCTCTCATGCTTCTAGAGGCTAGAAGTCCAAAATCAAGTTGTCAGCAGCACTTCTCTTCTGCTAAAGGCTCTCTCAACAAGGATCCTTCCTTGCTGCTTCCCAGTCTCTGGTGGTTTGCCGACAATACTTGGTGTTTCGTGGCTGGTGGTGGTATTTATGCTCCAGTCATCACATGGCTTTCTCTCGGGTGGCTCTGTCTCTCTATCACTTCTCTTCTTGTAAGGACACCAGTCATATCAGATTTAGGGCCCAACCTGCTTCAATATAACCTCGTCTTAGAAATATATGTATCATATGTAATACACAAAACACATGTATTATATGTTATGTATTATTCATGCTTCTATAACCTATATATTTAATCAGTATCTATCTATCCCACTACCCTGCAAACTCCATGAGGCAAGGACAATGGCTTTCTTATTCTTCTTTTCATCCGCAACACCAAGTCCAGCCTGACACAAGTCAGTAAATACTTGTGGGGGATGAATGGATTTCAAAGCTCAGAATGTTAGATACCATTGAGCCAGCAGTGACCAAACTCTCTAGGAGCCCAAGGCTTCGTGAATCCGGTCAGGCTGAGAAAGAGGCCAGGTGAGTGGGCTTCCGGTCTCAACTCCCTCCCAGATCTACATCAACCAGTTATCATGTTTGTACCTGTTTTATATACTCCATTCTAAGTAATAGGATATGCAATATTGCTTTTATAAAGGAGCTTTAATGAGTTTTAAATGTGTGAAAAATATCGAGCTCCCCCTCCTCTCCTTTGTAGATAAGGAAACTAAGGTCCAGAGACATAAAGGGGTTTGCTCCAGGTCACCCGGCAGTAGTGGGAGAGGCAGCCAGGGTTTTTGAGCCCTATTCCAGAACTTTCACCTCAATGCTCACCTTCCTGCCAAGACATACAATGGGAGAATTTTGGAATTTGCCCTCCCTGGGACCCTGTTTTTCTATCTGGAGCAACTTCTGGGAGAAGGAAATGGAGCCTGTGGCATGTGCCCCTTCCCCACGGCTCTCAAAGGCCCTTTGTGTCAAGTTCTACGGACATTCCACAGTCCTGCTCTGGGCAAATCTATCTGCCAGCGGGTCACAAGCCGTGCCTTCATCTCTGAGCCACGGTGGTTTGGCCTTTCTGTCTTTAAATACACCCGTTGCTTTCTAGAAAGCTGAAACCAAGCGAGGGAAGTCAGCCTCGGGAGGCCCGGCGCAGATGGGCTGGGGTGGGCTACCAGAGGAGAGGGGTCTGTTTTGCAGACCTGGCTTGAGAAGAAAACTGTGCTAATTATCTCCCAGGCCCAGCTGCAGAAACGCCTTAGCTCGGCAGCCGATTATAAATAGCCCAGAATGCACTCCCAGCCGCTTGAAAACAAGGATATTTTTGCCCTTGGTTAGAAGAAGAGCTCTTCACAGCTTTCCTGGGCCCTTTCCTCAACCCCACCCCCAAAGAGCTATGATTTATGTCTCAGCACCATTACTGGGACCAAGTATCACACAGCCCCGATAAACAATGATTAATTCATGGCCAACTTTTGTGAAAAAATAAGGCATTCCTTTGGAAGTCCTCTCTTTCATTTTGGCAGAGACATGCTGACCCGGGAGACCAGAGGGGCAGTTGTATGTGAGTTCATTACCCTGGCTTTCATCGGGCTGTCTCTGCCCTTGAACAAGGTGGGGACTGGGGAAGGCAGCAGGTCACTGAGGCAGGGGGCAGGAGGGAGCCGAGAAGACATGCTGGGAACTTGACTGTTTGCTGAGATGCTCCAAAAAGAAAAAGCCAAAGATGCTGGGCCGGTCCGTTTACCTCTGAGTCCTTTTTAAAAGGAAATCAGCCTCTCTGTGAGGAAATCAGGCCTTAATGCAAATACCCTAGAAATCCTTGCACCAGCTGGCTCACTCCTTAGGACCTTAAGTTTGAACAGTAGCTCCCAATGTACAAAGCACTTTTCATGTCCTGCTCTCATCTGACCCTTACAACAACTGTTTTATTTGTTTGTTTTTCTGGAATCAAAGACAATCCCTGCTTGTTGTAGAAAAGTTTAAAAATTTCACAGAGGCATAAAGTAGGGGAAAAAAAATCCCACCCAAATCCCATCACACTGAGACAATAATGTTTTCATGGTCATCCTTTCAGACCTCCATTATTGGATTCTGGGATGGATATCATTTTACCTGCCTGGGACTGTATTATGGTGTTAGTTGGGCTCTTGGTAGAAATAGATGGCACATTCAAATGAGAAATTGCACAGAGTTTAATAGGGGCTGTTTTCATTGGCCTGGGTAGAGGTTAGGAAAATCGGCGAGGAATGGTGCTGTACACCAGGGCTAGCAACAAGGGAGAGCCATCGTGACTCATATGTCTGAAGGCCAAGGGTAGAGGGAGTGGTTACTACAAATCACAGCTGTGTGAAGAGGGTCACTTGTCAGGACCTGTAGCCTTCAGTGGAGACACAGCCAGCCCCAGTCAACAGCAGAGTTGGACCCCTGATCTCACTCTCCCCTACCCTCCAACTGCGGGTGCCTCCCATTGGCCAACTCAGGCGCAGTTAGAAGGCATAGAAGCCCATCGACGGTAGTTCCTGGAGGCCTAAGCCCCTGGGGCACAGAACAAGATGGAGAGGGTGGAGAGTCAACAGGAGAGACAAGCAGAAAATATCTTTTACATCTAGTGTAATCCTGATCCTTTCGTAGTTCATAAGCGTGATGATTAGGCGTCTGCACCACAGTGTGACTGTGCTTCCCTCAAAGCTTGTTACAGCCTCGGCACATTACCCATCTGACATTAAAAAAAAATACTACTTTTACCATTCTGTGGTAAGCCAAGAAGTTTCTAATTCAGTGAATATAGATCGGCATCATACTTTTTCATGAACCTCGTATGGATGTAGCAAATGTATTTAACTGAGTCCCTATTGATGGATACACAGTTCGTTTCTAATTTCTCAAGAGCATAGACAATGCTGCGATGATGGGCAGATCTGTACATCCAAACCCTGTGCACTTAGGAAACATGATTCTGATTCCCCTTTGACATTTCTTAGAAACTGAGGCTTCTTGCCTGTGAGGCTTGTCCCATTCACACAGTGGTCACGTGGTTTTTCTAAATCCTCCAACTTTTCAATATTGATAGAAAAAGGAGGAAGAGGGCGCCTGGGTGGCTCAGTGGATTAAAGCCTCTGCCTTCAGCTCAGGTCATGATCCCAGAGTCCTGGGATCGAGCCCCACATCGGGCTCTCTGCTCAGCAGGGAGCCTGCTTCTCCCCTCTCACTCTGCCTGCCTCTCTGCCTACTTGTGATCTCTCTCTGTCAAATAAATAAATAAAATCTTAAAAAAAAAAAAAAAAACAAGGAGGAAGAAAGGAAGCTTTTGGTTTTGAAACCGAAAAAAAAAAATAAAAATGCTTATCCCCTTGAAAGTCCTCCCAGCCACGTGACTCTGAAAGGGTGGAGACTCTTGGGTCCTGGGCACACAGGGCCTCAGTCAGTCATGAGGGACAAGGGGAGGAGGACAGAGGAAGTACAAAGGCGAAACAGAAAGTGATGTCACGGGACACCCCTTCCCTGGCTTCCCAGGTGTCACCTCAAGAAGTGTAAACAGCTCCAGAGGCCTTATCGTGGTAAAGCAGGGAGGATATGGGCCCAGAAAGTGAGTTAAGGCAATAGGCGACACTTCCTGTTTACACCTCAGTCTCCTCATCTGGAAAGTGGAGACGAAGCTCACCAAGCAGACTTGTGCTGAGAGCCGCTGACCCACACATGTGAAAGGGCGTTTGCTTTGTCAGTCCTCAACAAATGTACATTTCTTCCTTTCTTGCCCCAAAGCTGGGAGCCAAGCCAGACAAAATCTGTTTTTTAAAAATTCACAACTGTTTATTGAGGAGTAGATAAATATGAAGGTAAATAAGACTCAAGGAGCTTAGAAACCGATGTGTGTTCGAACCCAGTCAGTACTTGAAAGTCTCTGCTTTTGTCTCTGGACCTTTGTTCCTATCTGGAATGTCCTTTCTCTTCTACCTGGTGAAGTCACTTACCTTCTTCATTGTCCACTTGCACAGGAACCCAACCAAATGTGTCACGCCCTTGCCTGCACCCCCACAGCACCGTGCCCCTTCCTCTCTCTCAAACCTCATTTCTTGGTGTGGACCAGTGACTAAGACTTTTGGAGTCCAATGGGTTGGTCTCTGTCCCAGCTCTGCCACTCACCAAGCTGGTGCTTCTCAGTGTCCTCATCTCAGAAACGGGAACGACATCTCCTACCCCAGAGGTAGTTGCCGGAACCGGAAGGGTCTAGACACGCACAGCTCTGAGAACAGAGCCTGGCGTAGAGGAGGCCCTCCTCAGACAGAACTCTTCGTCGCTGCCCCCTGGCACCAAAAAGGGCCTCTATGGACGCTTGTCAAAAGAACTCATGATGTGTATTCCTTGGCAAAATAGCAGGATAAAAGAGGACTCCAAAACGGTCCAGAATTAAGAACTCACAGAGGGACAAGGTGCGCGGCGCCACTCGCCGCATGGGGAACAGAGGAGACTCTGGTGGGCAGCCTGAGGAGAAGGTGCAGGTGGGGACCGTGCCCAGTCCCTGCGTAGGGACTCACGGGCAGGACACAAAGGAAGAACAGAAGGAGAGGGGACGACTGAGCTCCGGTGCCAGCCCCTCGGAGCCGTGTGACTTTGGACAAGGCCCTTCACCAGAGAGGCTGGCCTTCTTTGTAAATGAGGACAAACAGCCCCCTTCCCACAGAGCGCCGTGAGGACTAGACGGGCTAAGCTAACGCTCCTGGCCCACAGCGAGAGGCAGCCTGGCCACTCGGCTGTTATTATTCTCATCGCCCCTCTAGGCGACACGATGACTGCTCTCTGCTTGCTGGGGGTCCTGCGAGCTCTCTGATCCAGGAGTGTGTGGGCTGGGCACCGCCGTCCACTGAGCGCTGAAGGCTGGGGGGCTGCCCTGCCAGAGGGGAGCCTGGGCCTGCCGAGAGCCGGTTTCCTGCCACCAGCCCATCAGCCGGGGCCGCCATAGCCAGAGCGATGAGGTGGAAACAGGGAAGGAGTCTTGGTGTCTGAGCTAGATGCCAGCCTGGGCACTGACTTTCTGCTTCCCCTGAGGTCGCCACAGGCTCCATCAGCTGCCTGCGTCCTCTGGCCTCCCCCCAAGAGCAGCCACTGGCCTCTTGCCTCAGTTGCCATGGACACGGTCTCCCTCAGAGGCCTGGCGTTGGGTCTCTGCCTCCTGGGTGTCCTTCCTGACCCAGAGCCTACCCACCAGCCCTGTTCCCATGCTACTTCCTCCTCCCCAGGGGAAGTCTCCCTTTCCATCCATCCATCCATCCATCCATTCATTCATTCATTCAGATAACAAATACATATTGATCAGGTGCCTTCAAGGAAGGCCAGTTACTATTTTAGGTTCCATAGATGTGGAATTGAACAAAAGAATAAAATCCCTGCCCTCATGGAGATTATAGTCTAGTGCAGAAGAGAGATAATAAATAAATTAATTAATTTATATATATGTCTATATGATACAAAGGAAATCATGAGAAGTGGCTTCTCAGAGGAGGTGACATTTGAGCAGAAACTGACACTGTAATGAGGGGGTCACCCCATAGGTGTCTGGAAGAAGCTTCCAAGCCCAGGAACAACCGTGTGAAGACCTGGCATCAAGAACACAGTCGGTGGTATGTGAGGAACAGCAAGGGGCCAGTAGGGTTGGGGAATAAGAAGTGAGGGGGTCACAGGTGTAAGAAGAGATTGGACTGATATCAGCGGTCAGACAGCATATGGCCTAGGAGGTTATGCCAATGACACTGCATTTGATTCAAAGGGACAAGAAGCTGCCACTCCCAGAGAATTCGAGCAAAGGCTCTGATTCCATTTTACAAGTTTTGCTCCAGATGCTGCGTGGAGAATTAGGGGTGATGGTGGGCGGGGGGCAGGGGGAGACACGGGTGGACGCAGGCTCTTAGTTAGAAGGCTGTTGCAATGACCCAGGCGAGATGAAGTGGTTTGGCCCCACGTGCTGATGATGTCCGTGATGACAAACGCATGGACCCGAGGTGTCTTTCGAAGAACGAGTCAGTAAGCCTGGCTGCCGACCAGGAAGTGGAGGGTAAGTAAGTGTCCTGTCCCAAGGATGACTCCCAGGTGCTTGGCCCGAGCTGGATGGGGGTGCCTTCTCCTAAGATGAGGAAGATAAGGAGGGAGAAGCTATTTGGATAAAATCCACAGTTTGGTTCTGAAGGTCTGAGGCATGTATCAGCCAGGAAAGAGGAAACGCCAACCAGGCATGAATTTCATAGTCTTTGAATCTGGAACTCAGGAGGGCGGCGGACTCTGGAGACAAGAAGCTGAGGACATGCGCCCAGCAAAGGGCCTGAATGAGGTTCCTGGAGAGCAAGAGAGGGGTCGGAGGAAGAAGGCTAAAACCAAGTTCACTAAGAGCAAAATAAAGAGTGGAATTCTAGAAGCTAAGTGAAGAAAAACTTCTAAATCAGTGTAGGGAGACTAATGGCCCCTGAGAGATACTTTCTTGCTAATCCCTGGACCCTGTAGATATGTTACTGAACCTGGCAAGAGATGGTGCAGATGTGACAGGCTTATGCACCTCGAGGTGAGGAGATGATGATATTCTGCAGGTGGGCCTTAGAAGCAGAGACCCTTTCCTGGCTAAGGCCAGAGGGAGATATGACAACAGAGGAATGGCCAGAGAAGTTCAGTGTTCCACAAACCAAGGCAGGTGAGCAGCCTCTAGAACCTTCTAGAACCTGAAAAGGGCAAGGAAATGGAAAGCTCCTCCCAGAGCTTCCAGACAGAGACATAGCCCAGCCTGTAGTTTAGCCTAATGAGACCCCTCTCTGACCCCAACCTACAGATTTTAACCTACAGATTTTACAGATCTGTAAAATAATAAATTTGTGCTATCCAAAGCCAGGCGATCTGTGGTGATTTGCTGCGGTTGCCACAGAAAACTAATGAAACGAGGAAGTGATCAGCCAGTCAAGTCACAGTCCAAGCTTTAGGAAAATGAGAATGAAAATTTCCAGGGGTTCAGGCAACGAGGAAATCCTGGAGACCTCAATCAAGCTAGTTAGGAGGGGACAAAGAGTGGTGGGACAGCCCTGAGGAGAGCATGGGAAGGGACAGACCAGTCTGTGGAGGAAGTAATCTAGAAAAGGAAACCGAGAAATGGGGTAGAGAGGTGTGTGTCCTCAAAGGAGAGTTCAGGTTCTTGCTTCTGAAGATGAGATGTATGCTTTTGTGCCAGGGAGGATGAGACTGGAGAGAAGAAATATGTGATGAAGCAAGGAAGAGTCAACGTTCTGGCTTTGGGTCCCATCCCCTGTCCACTCCTGAGCATTCAAGAGCCAGGAGCAGAGGCAAAGAACCCACAGGAGATCCACACCTCAACCTAACCTTCCACAGAAGACAGGAATCTCTCCCAACAGAGTGGACACAGGACTCATCTCGGACCACTCCCCTCTCCACGTGTGGTTCTGTGGTACCTCTCCCATCTCGCCTACAACCTGTATTCCAGGGGTTGTGAGGTGTCCATGCCCATGGGTACACAGTTCCTTAAGCAGCAAGACGGTATCCGTCTCGTTCTTTGTGTGTCCCCAGCCGAGCCTAGACACCAACACACAGAGGATGTATTCAATAAACGTCTTGCTGAGCGATGGTAACAGCCCCATCATAGCCCCATCTACTGGGTGCTCATGCATGCCAGGGGCTTTACTGGCCACCGGTCTGGTCTCACGTCATCCTGCCAGCAGCCCTGTCATGCCC